CAATTAAAGATTTATAATCAAACCATTATTTGATAGAAAGTACTGATATGTATATATATATATATATTTTTTTTGTCCCCCCCCCCCATTAGCTATATTATACTATAATAGAAATGAAACTGTTGTTTATAAGCTTTTTAAAAGCATATTATCAATAGATTCTACATTTATGTACTAATACATATAAAAGCCTAATTTGATAATTAAAATTTAAAATGATGAAACAAATTCCAATTAGTTAAATATTCTTTATGTATATAATAATTATATTATAACAAAGAACATAAACGATTTCATTAAATTTTTAGTAACAAGCCTTTACATATTTTGATATAATTTCCGATATTTCTTATCTTCTTATCATTTATTTAGCCTTATGGATATTGGAAATTTTCATAATGAATTTTCGTTTGAATTTCAGAAGAATCTTAAATTATTTTCTATAATCACTTACCTTCACCATTTTTACAAAAATCGTAATTATTTAATACTGCCTTGTATTTATATTATTCCTTTTACTCCTTTATGTCCCATTTTGAATGCAAGTACATAAGCTCTTGCTATGAAACACGTTGAGCATTGTAATTCAGGAGTTGTATAAAAGATACAAAAGTAGTATTGCTATCCATTTCTATTTTTCCCTCTTCTTTTTATCGGAAATTGACTTCCTGGTATTCTGCTGAATACATGATTCTTTGATCAGTCTTCATTCTTCTTTTATTTTTCACAGTTATTCCAGTTATTTTTGCCTTTCTTGTCAAATTTAAAATTTTTGAACATAGATACATTGTCTTATTGTATAATGAATTACATGAAACAGATGTAGGACTGTATACTCTATATCTAGGACTGAAAACTTTGTATTTAGGGATGAATGGAAGTTTTATAAAAATTATAGTATTTAGAAAGATATGAGAGCCAAATTTCTAATTGTATGGATAATTAGCATTAAAAAATTAAAATCTGCTCCTATTTTACTATATTTGTCCATTCACATAAAATCATGTTTTATATCCTTAATGTAGTTCCCATACAATTTAATAGAATTAATTTAATTCTTAAAAAATGATAAGTAATCAAGAGTATATAATCAAAAATATGTTTTCGATTAAATTTATTTGGATTATATATATTTTTATTACTTTAATATCGTATACAATTTTCTACTTTTGTTTTACAGTATAAGGATTTCAACAGCCCATACTTTGTACCAAGATATCAATTATTTATGTAGTGTAATAGAAAAAATTACTGAACAATTTTACTACCTGCCACTGTACTAAGACGATTCGTAGCACTATATTGTTTCAAACCTTTTTGTTTATCCTAAGCACTTCTTAAATAACTTCTTTCTCATTTATAACTGCCAATTATACGTAGGATGGGTATTAATTCAGTGCTTTTAAACAAATATTTCAGTAAATCTATCAAATAACAACAAAACAAAAATTGCAGCTTCTTTGAAATCTGATCACATTTAACTCAGACCATTGATTTACAATTTTAATATTTTATTAATTTTATTATTAAAATATTTCAGAAAACTTTTTATTACCAGACGAAATTGATTGAGTAGTAGTAAGGTATATTCTGTTAGCACACAATTACTAATAAAATTATTATGTCTACGATTATTCTAAAAAGAAATACATAGTTTATTGATGCAAAATAATATACTTGATAAACTATGAAATTCCTTGAACATATATTTATAATTCATAGATTATATAGCATCAAACAAGTAAGAGTAAATTAAAACTAAAAAATTATAAATTATATTAATGATGCTTCGAAACATTATACATTTAAATATAATTCGATGAGTAAAATTATATTTCATAATTTAATATTAATGAAAATATTTAAATAAACTTCATATAATATTCATAAAAATAATTATAATTCTTAATAGTGTAAATATTGTTTCTATTTTAATTGACAATGAAATTTTGAAAAATTAATGAATTAAAAAGAGAAAATAAGTGAAATTTTTTATTCTAAATATTAAAAAATATTTTCTTATATCATAATTTCATTGAAAAGTAATGCCAGTTTACATTTGTTATATCAGTTGTTCATAATAAACTTAAAGGAACGATGAGACTGTAAATTTACATATTATATATCTCAAAAAATGAGAATATTGTTAGAACGATAATGTTCTTCGAATGTGTCCTTTAGTATATATTATTATTATTTGGTTATTACTATAATTTTTTTATATTCATGAATGTTGCTGAAAAAAAAGTCATTTCAGTTTCCTTATTGAACCGTTTTCTGTATTTATTTAGATATTGTCTGGAATTTGCACTTGGAAAATAAATAAAATAATTAATAATACGATTAAAATATAACATGTAAGCAGATACATTTGGAAGATGAATCTTTCTTATAAATAGACAAAGGCGAGACATTATTACATTAAGTAGCACAGTAACTTGAAATAGAACTTGGAGACCATCTTTTATCTAGATACGCTTTAATCTAAATTTACGAATCATGCATAAAATTTGCGGACTCCACTGATTCTCGCGATCCATCAGTAGAGAAACAACAACTGATCTACAATAAATAATCAAAAGAGTAAAATTCGTGAATTACTTCGCGTCGAAAAGAAAAAAATAACAATAAGTTTAAAATAATCGTATTGAATAAACAGAGAATTGTACATTAAATATCTTATTAATGAGATATAGTGTACAAAAGAGTATAATCTTCAGTCCCGGATAAGGAAGTGTTAGCTTAAGTAACAGTACGTATACTTGCAGTCTCTTACATTTTCAAATTTTTCTTGATAAAACAGATGAAGATAAACTGAATCCAATAAGAAAAAGCACTACTACAATGATTTCATTTATAAACTATTTTTCTATAAAAATGTGTAAAATGTTACAATATTTTACAATTATTTCGATAATATGATATAAAAGTAATAATTATTTATATTTTCATATAGATATAATTTATATTAATTCGGACACCGTAAGGTAAACATTAAGCGTCTGTTGATTTTGAAAAAAAAAACTTTTTTTTATAGATATTGTAATTTTGATATAAGTAAAAAACATTTACATGCTAATAAATATATATTTGTTATATTCTCCCCTACTCCCTCCCCCTCCCCGCCCATTCACCACCAAATTGGCTTTCACTCGCTCTCTATATGTCTACCTCGCTCACTATCTTTCTTCTTTTGTAATTACTACAGAAAGAAATATTTGGTATTTAAGCAAATTTCAATATTCGTATCTCCATTAAGTCAATTCATTATAATATTTGTAAATTATTGTTTAATATTGATATGGGCTTATTTAATACATATCTAAAGTTTCTAAATTTATGAATATGTACATGCCTATTTCTAGTAAACGTAAATATTATTATAATAATTCCTATAAGAGAATATTCGATACACTTATATACAAAACTTTCGGTTATTATATAATAATCGTTTAGGAATATTACACAAACAATACAATATAACAATATATATATATATATATATATATATATATATATTTATCTCACAAGACCTAAATTAAACATGTTTTAATTTAAATATTGATTCTCTACGATCATTATTTCATTTTTTTTAATAGTTTCCGCGTATGAAAATCTATGAAAGAACATGTTATTTAATTAGATGTTTATCGGCATAATAAATTCAAAAAGATTTGCATAAACTCAGGGAATTTAAATATTGCCAATAATTATTATTTATAATATTTAATCAAAATTAATTCAAATCAAATGAATAAATTGTTTCTTAAATCTATACAAATGTTTATTTATTTCGACACAAATACTAACACCATCAATTCCTCGTAAAAAATACCTTAACATAACAGCAATCATTATCAGTAGATGAATTAATTATTAGAATAGAAATTTTTGTACAATTATTATTTTGTTTAACATTATATTGCAAATTAATAAATTTTTTTTTAATATAAAAAAAAAAATTATAATAGCTAAAAGCTTACTGCAGAATTGAACGATATAAATGTTTATAAGGTATTTATTATAGATATTTACCACTTGACATGTCATACTGATTATTTATAGATAAAAATATTTAATTAATAACATGTTTGAATTATAGAAAACCAACACATATTTTAACGCTATTAATTTAATATCGCACATAGTTTTTTACATCGTCTAACCAATTTTTCATGAAAAATATTGTTAAAACCATACTGATATATTATTCTATTTAATAGATACTTCGTAAAATATTCATTTGGCTAAATAAATAAGCACAAGCTTTAAAATATTTTCTGATATAACCGATTATTAATTAATTCCAGTCGTATTTATTAAAACATTATGTAGAATATAAAATATAAACGTTTTAGTAAGTTTTTGGTTTGAAACTTAACTTAACTTAATGATAACTGTAATAAAACTCATCATTTGATTTAATTTGTAAGAATAGCAAATTATGAGAATAAAACATTGACAAATACATATGAATGACGTATTTCCATTTTTTCAAAATTTGAGTAGATTTTCCAGACATAATTTCATTCAATTAATTTATTTAAAGAAATAAATAAAATAATTGAATTTCACAGTTCGTTACGTATAAACTATGTAATTTAAAGTAATTAGTAGTAAATTAATTAATAAAAGCATTTTTTTTTTCATTAAAAAAAATATATATATTGTTTAAAAATAAATAATAATGACCAAAAGACACTTTAGATAATCGAACTATATATTTTTATAAAAACAATTGGTATTTACGTATATTTATCGTGTGTGAAATAATAATATCCAGTATTATATAAATATAAATATAAATATGTATAATATTAAAAAGTATTTTAAAAGTGCATGACATCTACTTTAATGAATGTAAATCAAAAGTTCTAACTAAATTTTTTCCTTTGGAATAGTATTCATCTAAAATTTTCAATTATCTTTGCGTAATATACGATGAAATAAAATCATGTTTGTTAAAAAAAGAAAATTATATATATTTCTTCCCTAAAATATTAACCTGTTCAATCATTGAGTTATCAAACTAAATAAGTTACTAATGCAATTACGAGAAATTGTATACTTAACACTGTTGTTGTAGCCGAAGTCATATAAACAGTTGATACGGAAAAGCTACTTTCATTTTGTGCCTCTGTTGTTGAAACGACATTTGTAGTATTTTCTTCCGTTGTCCTCGTCTCTTCCGTTGCTTCCGTTATTTCTTGAGTCGTTGTTTCTTTCGTTGTTGTTGTTTTTTGTGTTGTCGTTGTTTCTTGTGTCGTTGGTTTTAACGTTGTTCCTTCAGTCATTGGTTTTAACGTTGTTTCTTGTGTCGTTTTAGGTGTTGTTGTTGCAGCTGGTGTTTGTGTAATCGCCGGTGTTGTAGTAATTCCATTTGTAGTCATTATCATATTAGTATTATGTACTGTCATTGTCGTTGGCTTTAGCTTTGTAATGATCATTCGACTTCTTCTTCCCATTAAATAAATTGGTTTTTCATAATTATTGTTCTCTTTCTCAAATTGACTACCATCTTCAATTATTGGCAAATCTTTTAAATGTCCAGGATTCCTGAATTCTACATTATTTAAAAAGAAAAATATTTATAAAGTTATCATCTTTAGAAATATCATTAAGTGAAAAAAATTTCTGTTTCGTACTATCGACTTTATTTTTATCAAATGGATAAGCATGTACAGCATATGCTACTAGGGCTAATACTGATAAGATTTTCCAAGTCATCCTGAAAAAAATATGAAACTTTTTATATATAATTATTATCATCATTCAGATATTAAAATTAAATGAGAAAAATAACAAAGAATTTATAACTTGTAAATAATTATGTGTATAAATTGCTTCGAATTATTTTTCTTATACTGTAAGAAATATTCTTATTTATACAAATTTTTAATTTGATTACATATTTAACAAAACAAATAATTTATTAACATTATGTGTTACCATTTTATTAAAGAAACATTTTTTATTATTCTAATATTAATTTTTCGTTATATCATCCTTTTATTATGTATTTGATATATTTATAAAAAAACTTATTTGGAATTAAACAATATAATATATAATAATATTAAGTTATTGAAAGAATTTTTTAATTGAATAATAATTTACAATATTTTTTTAATATATATGAAATATTGTATAACTAGTAAATGGAGTAAATAAAAAGGTATTAACTAAAAATATATATATATATATATATATATATATACTCTCTGTATATATATATATATATATATATATATATATACAGAGAGAGAAAGAGAGAGGGAAAGTAAATAATGCAATAATTCATTCTTTGTAATTTGATAATCTAGTACAATTTTTTATAATACTTAAAATATTTTATTTTCTTTTGATATCCAACTTATTATTACTATTATTATGAATTTAAGTAAAAAGGAATCAATGACTGGTTGATTAATTAATGCATGTATATATATTTGTTTTATTCTATTAGAAATATTTATCGTTAAACAAAAAATCATAAAAAATTAATTCTGTATAATATGTGTTTAATTTGAATATAAAAAAAAAACTTACTTATTTTCTGCTTAGTACGTCTTCTTCGTAAATTAAAAAATATTGAAATACAATTTTATACAATGAACATTCAGCACCTAAATTCTTAACTCTACGGAAAACCACTGATAAATGAACATGAACCCACAATATTTTTACTATACATATATAGGATTAGATTAGTTAAAAGTGTGACCAACAGATAAGACCAATGTCGATAAGTATAATTTTAATTTAATCGATGTTTGTAATGGAAAATTCATGTTTTACTCAAATATTTTTTGAATATTTCAAGAAGGTTTTTCGTAGAATTTATTTATTTATCTAAATAAATAAATAAATAAATATATATATATATATATATATATATATATGTTAATAAAATAGTTAATTGTAAAAATTAAGTTAAAGATAAGTGTATTTAATATTTAATATCTTTTAACAATAGAGGCTGCCATAAGCGGTTAAGTTTATTTATTCTGATGATTTATTCTGACTTGACCTAATACACACATTTAAAGCATAAAAAAATATTAATAAATATAGAATTCCTTTAATACAATTATTAAATATTGAAAATTGATTAATAGAAGTAAATAAAGTTTAGGAAAGACTTATTATTTATATACTCGTTTGAAATCAGTGATTACCAATTAATTTAAAAAATAAAAAACAAGTTTTAATATTTCATTAAAAAATTTTCTTTTTTATACTTGTATATATCATGATTTTTAATTCTTTGTAGATAAATGAAAATAAATTTTCATCTAATTACCGTATTGAGAAAATATAGCAAATTATTATTTGTGCTTACAAAGAATATTTTAATACTAAATTTGTATATTAAAAAATATTTATTTATATATTAGATTATGTATAATTATTTTTATATTGAATTATTTTTACACATATTTGAGTGATTATAATCGATTTTAAATTTTATCAAATTAAATTAAGAATTGTAAGTAACAATAATAGATAGTATAAATAAAATTATGCGGCAATACGTGGTCAATATTACTCTCTTTATGCATCTGTTGAAAATATCAGTGATCTATAGTAACATTTGGCATAAATTATTTACAAAATTAATAGACATATTATTATATTTTGAAATCGCTCAATTTTCAAAAAGATCTTTATTAGTTATAATAAAATTTAATCGAATTCTAATAAAATGTTGCATCGTCAAATTTTATGACGAATCAAAGTGTATTGCACTTATTTAAAATATTATAAGAAGAAAACATCTATTTTGACTTATGTTATATGCTATTAAAAGTAAAAGAGAAGAAAATTATGACTAAAAAGTATAAAAATCTAATGTTTAGTTTTGTGTAATGGATTTATGCACCTTTTCTATATTATTTTACTCCTTAAAAAGTAAAAATCACTCCATTTATATTTTTATATTATATATATTTCAGATTTCGTTTTCGAATCTAACAATGTTTACTTTAGATAAATTTAATAAATATATGCAGAATTATAAATGAAAACAGATAAATATTTCAATATTAATTATTAAATTTTATTATTATAATTTATTATTATAAAGTTTATATTATTATATTTCTTATAACTACTAGTATTGATCAATCAAGTCATATGGATTGCTAGAAATTCTCTATTTTATTATTGCAAAATAACAAATTTACAATAAACAAAAATAACAAAGAATAAATTTCTATTATTCTATAGTACAAAATAAAAACATGTAATTTATCGTCTGTCTAATTTTCATATGAATCAATGTCTTCGAACGTTCATTAATTTTATTAAAAAATTTTACTTTATAATATATATATATATATATATATATACAATATTTTTATAGACAATTAATATATATAATTAGAAGGATACATTTTCTCTTTCTGCAATATGAAAGATATTATGAATAGTAAGTAATAGGATTATCTAATAGTCATCTAATAATTATATTTATTAATTAAAGTTTAAAATATCACTGCTTCTAATAATTATTTTTTACTATTCTAGGTAAGTATTTACTGGCTTCGTAATTAAAATATCAAATTACTCTCAAATGATTATCAAGTAAGTATATGATTATCAATTTAAATAATAATAATATAATTAAAAATAATTTTTCATTTATTTTTAATAAAAAATATTAAGACTAATTGAATGATTTTTTATATGAATTTTAAAAAATCTATGAACAATGGACGTTTACAAATTGATGAATATTTCTACTTATCAAAATGTCTATAAATATTTCTCTCACAATTTTATATTACATAAAATAATAATGTAAAAAATGATTAGAAACATTACTCAATGCAAACGTGAAGACACTGAAATGAGGCAAGAAGGCACATTTAGTTCTTTAGAATAATTATTAATTGTTTCTTAATTACGCAAGGACACGAGAAGCTTATTTTGAAAATCATATTTTCACAATCATAGATCCGTTGTATCAGTATATCTGTTTAATTCATAATGAACTCTACATAAATAAAACTCACGTTTTAGATTAACACGTTATCCGATAACGTGTCGCCTTAATTATAATTTTAAGCTGCATGAATCCGTATGAGACAATTTTTTGTAGATAAACTTTATTTACTTATAATAATAATACAATAAGAATTAATTTACAAAGAAAACCTTTTTTTTCTAATTGTATTAATAAAATGTATTTTAATCGAATGACTCAGTTGATAAGTGTATTTAATGTATGTAAATATTAAAAATTTATTTTAAGATATAAATCAGTAATTGTTATTTGGACAAGTGAAATTAAAAATTTTATATTCATCATTCTATCTATCTACGTCTATAGTTATTAGATTATTGATTTTTAAATGAAAAATAGGGCTCCTGGATTTCTGCATTTATAGAATAAAAATAAATATTACACATAAATATACCAGCAATTAGTAGTTATAATTTTCATAATGATTAATTATATTTAATATTTTGTCATTATTTTTTAATGAATTAATAATGAATTTGTTAATTAATAATATGAAAAAATATTTGTATCCAATAGAATGTATGCAAAAAATATTTGAACAGTTGATAATACAAGTGAGATATATGTTTCAACAAAAAAAATCGGAAATATTTATCATACAAACACGTTGAATTTCTAAAATAATTAAGCATAATTAGATTAATTATACATTCATAATCTTTATAAAACAATGATAACCTAACATATTTGAAAATTGCTAACTCTATTGATATTGTAATTATAAAATAATAATTATATAAGATTGAAATGATTTTATCAATTTTTGATAAATTTAGATAGATTAGAATAACAGTTGGAATTGAATTATTAAATTCATTTGTTTAATTGAAAAAATCACATTAAAATCAATTATTTAGCGAAATCGAGAGTATACGTTTCTTCAAAATTCTTTAAATATCAATACTTTGAAGCAAAAGCATATTTACATTCATTATTAATTTGTAACTGTTCTAATTAGATATTAATTATTTAAAAACTTAATAAACATTTATATGTACAAGAACATAAAAGATTGATCGAAAATGTAAAAACTCTACAAAAAATTTTATTTTTAATTTTTCTAATATGAGAATAAAGTGCATTTATAAGCTTGAATATATTGGTACTTACCCATATAAAATTATTTATTTAATATTCTTATATTTAAATAGCTTAAATTTAGTATTTATCCCCTTAAATATTTCTTGCCATAAATCAATTTCAAATGACATTCAACCACTTGCAATGAATATATTATATTCGTCGTAACGTCGTTTAGTAAAAAGCATACTATCGGATTAGGTTCATCATCTTTGTGCTTGTGGCCGACTTGTTATTTATTAAATATAACTTGAGGATAGCAAAACCAGGTGTAAGAAGGGAAAATTCCGCCTCACTAAGGCAAGAGAATTCACTGTGCTCGTTCCTGCCATAACACATTTTTGTTTTATCACTTGCAATCTGCATTTCTAGACAACTTTATAAAATACTGTGGAGTATGTTGATCATACATTGAACTATTTAATTAAAAAAAAAAAAAAAAAAAAAAAAAAAAAAATTATCTAAATTGTCATGATAACTTATCTAAAAGAGCAAAATAATTTTATGTGCTAATTTTATAATTGTTAACAATATACTGTCTAGTTAATTTTACGCTATAAATAAATTTAATAAACGCCATATATATATATATATATATATATATTTTTTTTTTCTGTATTACACAGGATATTTACTAATAATTAAGAGAATGTTGTAAGAGGATTATATAAAAATATGAAAAAACAATAGTAAATTAATAAAAACTCGACTCTATTATAAGCGTATAAGACATTACCTGAATTTAATCAGAAAACAATGAAGTATCGTGGACGTTTAAAAATATATGATTAAAGATTGTAATTATTGATGATAAGATAAACAAACAGCACCAAACGGAATTGAAGTGGTCTTTGAAAAACTATACTTTATCTGTTCTTCAAGAAAATATAAATGACATTCTTTAGATTAATTCCGTACAAAACGTTTAAAAATAATTATCTTTTAAATTAATCAATTTAAATATTAAAAAGGTTCGGAATATTTCTAGATTTTTCAATACCTTAATTAAAAAGCAATGAAAAATTTCTGAAATAAATTATTGTTTCTATATTCATTGAAATAATATTTCATGTTAATTTAACAGATTTAATAATAGATATCATTTCAAAAAGTTTTCCTTGTGTTTAACATAAAAATTACGATAAGAGTTCATATAAATTTAATACTCTTAATATTAATAAATTTGCCAGTCGTTTCTCAAATGTAATGATTTTCATTATAAAAAAAATTATTATATATTACCGATGCTTCGCAAATATCTTATAAAACTGTAAAAATAAAGAAAATATATATTCATTAAATTCAATTATGTTTAACAAAACAAAAATAATAATAAAAATTGTCCTAGTAACCTATTTTTATTATTAAAAATAAAAATTATATTATATCATATAAGCATCTGCCAGTTGAATTGGCAATACAACTTGATTAATTTTAAAAGGCATTAAATAGTCTATGAACTAAAATAATTTAATAATAAAATAGTGAATTAAAACAAAAACAAGATTAAAAAATCGAACGGTAAAACAAATTTCAATACTTTCTTCTTTCTTATCATTTGGCGTTTCAATGAATGTAAGTTTTGTAATATTAAAAA